CAAGACCTTGACTGACCCAACATCTCCACCCACCCCGGTGGCCCCCGTTACCCTCCAGCTCCGAGAACTTGAGCGCGGCGGCGTTGAGGGCCTGGACGCGCTCGGTCTGCGCCGAGATGTCGGCCTCCAGCAGCCCGTGCTTCTGCAGGAGATCCTCAACCTCCAGCAGATGCTTCCCCAAATCCTTGGAGACCAGAAGGACCTGGAGAAAGAACGGCAAAAAACCGCGTCGAACGGGAATTTCGCCGGGAATTTCGCCGGGAATTTCGCCGGGAATTCCGCCGGGAATTCCACCGGGAATTTTCGCCACGCCGCCGGGATCTCCTCCATCTCTTACCTGCATCTCCTCCATCCAGTCGATCATGTAGACCATCTCTTGGAAGATCTTCTGCAGGGCCAGGTTCTGCTCGAGGCGGGCGCGGCGGGCTCGGACCAGCTCGGTCAGCAGCGCCCACTGGCGCAGGATGTTGTCCTTTTGGGCGCCGATGCGCCGCGTGTCGTAGTAGCCCTCGGACTCCATCTCCAAGGCCAACTCCACGACCACCTGGATGCGCTCCTGGTACGAGGAGATGTCGGCCTCGATGGCCTCGTGTTTCTTCATGGCCGCCTCCACCGCCGGGAGGTCGTAGCCGAAGTTGTCCTGAAAGGGGACAGAGGTGGGGGGGGGGTCAAGGAGGAGGTCGAGGAGGTCGAGGAGGTCGAGGAGGTTCCTCCACCTCTCCATGGTCAAGGAGGAGGTCAAGGAGGTCCAACCACCCCTCTCCAAGGTCAAGGAGGTCCAACGACCCCCTCCATGGTCAAGGATGAAGTCAAGAAGATCCAACCACCCCTCTATGGTCAAGGAGGTCCAACCACCCCTCTCCAAGGTCAAGGAGGTCCAACGACCCCCTCCATGGTCAATGAGGAGGTCAAGAAGATCCAACCACCCTTCCCCCAGTCAAGGAGGTCCAACCACCCCTCTCTTGGTCAAGCAGGACATCAAGGAGGTCCAACCACCCCCTCCATGGTCAATGAGGAGGTCATGGAAGTCCAACCACCCCCTCCATGGTCAATGAGGAGGTCA